GAAGGGCAATGTCTATCGACAATGTGGGCACACATTTTATGTGGTGGAGCCGAGGCCTTTCGTGAGTGTGCCATAGCCAAAGGGAGTGGTTGCCGAGCAGTGTGAACGAAAAATACGAGGAACGCATAGGCTGAAGGGCATGGGGAAGGCGTACTTGCACCAACTCAGGAGGGTGAACCCTCAACAATCTGCGGAATCCCATATTGATGCTTTGGGTCATGAACCCTTTGATCCCCTTGTTGAAAGTGTACAGCACATGAACGACACTCGCCAAGGAGAACATCGCAGGAAGGCAGTGACTCAGCGAAGCACCAGGCAATGCTATCTGGGCATCCCAACTGCACAGTGTCAATTCTAACTCCATGGAATGATAGCACAAGCGGACGGAATGTGCGGCGATAGCGCGATGAAACACAAGGCAACAACAAAGCAGCCAAATGCATGGAACGGCAGGGCACACGGAAGGGCAGCAAGGCAACAATGCAGCAAAGCACAATGCAGCACCAACAAAGCAGCCACGCTACACAGCAAACACAGCAGATGCAGAACGAGATGGGAAGCAAGCAGGATGTGCAGAATGGCAGCGGCAGAGTGAAGACAAGCCATTCCACACGTTCAACAACGAGCAAATCAGTACATCACCTACTCACACCTCAAGTGAACCCAGCTGACCGTTGGTTCCCACCTTCTGCTGAGCCCGGAAGCCATGCCGACAAAATGTCTTTCATCACCCATCGTCATCAACAGATATCACAAACAGGACGGGCCCCTAACAGTTGTGCTGGCACTCTGAACAAGGAAGCACCGACTGTTTGCCACTACGTAGAGGTGCTCACTGAGACAATCCGAAAGTACTTGAAAGAAGAAGACATACATAAAAATGATGGTGTGTGTGTGTGTGTGTGTGTGTGTGTGTGTGTGTGTGTGTGTGTAAAACACGGCTACCCCATATTCACTGGGAACCAGACCATCCATCTTTTCAAACGTAGCATCGCACCAGGTTAGCAGCAGGCTTAACATAGCATGTATGGTCATCAACTCCACAGGAGGATGCATGAAGGATTAAACAGGAGGGAGCAACTTAGAGGTTAGGCTGATGTTAGAGATGGCTGTCGGAGACAGCCATAGGGGGGGTGCACGCCCTGAAGCGCGCTTTTCGCTGCCCAACACCCATAGCAGCTCATCAGAGGGTCAGGTTATGATCTCCCATTAGACTATATCATAGAAGGGTATAGAGTTAGGGTGTACGACGTTACAGACACTCGAGGTAGTTATCGTCTTACCTTAAGGTGGAATGTTTGAGAGGATGTGGCATCCCCGGGTGAAGCCATTGGCACTTGACTGTCTTGTAGAAACAGCTCCTGCAGCAATTAGCGCTCGCTGCTCGTGGCACTTCTGCTCGAGTGTGTGTTAGGTGTAAGATCACCCACGTTCAGTTATGGAGTGTCTGTTCGTGTGCGGGGGTATGAAGAAGCTCCCGTGTCTCTGTGGAGAGGGGAATGAGATGGGATAGATACAGATTGCGTGCCTTGCGTGGAGAGGGAAAGTCCCGTATCACCGGTGTGGTCGCATGCAGTACTGCGGTCGATAGCGATGTAGGCTAGCTCCATTGTATATAGTTGTGTGAGGACGCACCATGGAAGGGGTAGTAAGGAAGGCGTATTTCGGGTTTGTTTTTGGGTGGGGTTTGCTTTGATTTTTTAGAGGGAAGAGGGGCTTCTTGTCATGCAAGGTGGAGGGAAGGAACGTGGCTACTGAGGTCGGGTGGTCTGTATCTGCACGTACCTTTGTATGGGTTATGATGTGCGTAGCGGGCCCCTGTGTGTAGTTTAGAGTTCGGCAGTAGGCCGTGGTTTGGGGGGAATTGCAGATAATTAGTCTTTTAGTGGCTATGTACTGCCCATGTTATTTCATATTGTCCGTAATGTAACTCGTCCTGATCTGTCGTGCCAATCTGCTTGGAAGTGTCTCACGAGTTTTTGTCTTTCTGAAACCATTTCTGCGGTGTGCTTCTGAAGAGGTTTGTCGTTTGTGTTTATCATTCTGTCATCATATGCATCTCTTCGTTTTTTCTTTTCTTGTTTTTTCATTTTTGTTCGTTTTTTTGGGGAATGCTTACACAGTAGCGGAGTGATTGTAATCTAATTAGTCTTTTAGTGGATTAGCACTTGCTCATGTTTATGGCGTATTTTTCGCGATGTAATTTGTCCTGTTCTATCGTGCCAATCTGCTTGGAAGTGTACCACGAGTTTTTGTCTATCAAAAAAAAACTTTTTCTGCAGCGTGTTCTTAAAGGAGACTTGCCGTTTGTCGTTTGTTAGTCCGTCATCATCTGTGTTTCCTCGTTTTTTTGGTATGCTTATGCAGGGGGACTGAAAAAAACTTTTTTGCGGGTCCAGCAACCAAGGAAAGAAAGAAAAAGAAAAAAGCTTATTGTGTGTGTTGATAGATGACAAAGTGAACGAACACTTCAAGTCGAAATACGTCAAAGCAGCACACAGTACCGAAAAGACATAAGTTCGACGAGCAAAGTCATAACCAATTACGACAGATAGGAAGAATACGAACAAGGATAGCGTCCCCGACGCGTTTCAGCAACCGCCGTCGCCTCATCAGGGGGTTTCCACCGACGTGCCTCGCACTAGCCAAACGGTCCAACATCCCACTTCCATCAGCACACATCACGACACTCCGGAATGTTCGTGACTGCGCCGGCCGTCAGCCTGAAGAGCTTACCAAACCCACATATCCTCAATCCACAATCATCCTTCCTCACAACAGATCTCCCCACATAGGCTAACTATTACACAGAAGCTTCACAGCGTTCTTCCAGTCAACATCCTTGCCCACAACGAACCGCTTCAAGACCCTGTCGAAGCTATCTTGCGGGAACTTCTTCAGGCGGAGCTCCCTCCTGACTGTCAACACCCGCAGTGGGATCTCAGAACGTATCGTAGTGTTCTGATCGATCCGGTGCAGGTGTCCGCCAATGATCGCGTTCTTCGACTGCTTGCTACCCCATGATGCGTGAGTTTGGCCATTCTGAAATACCAGATTCCCATCACCCCAGATAGACTCTTCGTTCTAAGCTAACTGCACTGACCCGAAGAAGGGAAATGTTTGTTTCGTACGAACGTCACATCCCAAATACTGCAAAACTCCATTCCCGCTATCTGTCCTCTTCAGGGTCAATCCCTCCGGGTAACATGATTCAAACATTCTCAGTATCCGCTCATAAGTGCTCGGTTCTAGTGATGCAGTCATCAAGATGACGTCATCAATGAGCCGCAGGCCAAACACGTTCCTCCTCAAATTACCCAAGGATGAAACAAACTTCATTTCACAGAATGCACACAAGATACAGGCCAACGGCGGACTGGTACTCTTACCCATCGGGATTCCGACAATCTGTTGAAGCAGGACACCGGTAGCAGTAGTGAAAGTGTGCATTAAATCAAACTTCACAAATTCCACTACCTCTACGAGATCCAGCCACTTCCAATGATCCGCTCCCGTAGTCATGCCAAAGGTTGCACCCTTCCCACGTGTGTTCACACGAACAAATGAAATACCCTTGTTCAGATAGTGCGCAGTGATCCACTCAACTGCATCCAAAATTTCCGAATGGGGGAGCCGACTGAACGTCTCTTTGATGTCATAAGCGGCTGACCTTACTTCCCCCTTCGGTAAGCGATCAATCCTATTGTTAACCCATTGCAAATTTCTTGCAAGGTGGGATACAGCCTGTAGGTTGAAGTGTTGGCCAAAGGGCAGCCGAAACAGCAAATGATTGAGTGCCTTTGACACCAGCCTTCCAGTTCGGACCAACGGTTCACTAAACGTCGGACAGATGGGTCTATACCTCGCTACATCCTTGTGTTTCGGTAGCACATACGACGTTCCAATCTTCCCCCTCCCATCCCACGGTGCGAACCTCTCAACGCCTACCCCACGGAGATCTTCACGCATCTCTCTCAAGATCTCCCCAACAGGATGTTGGACAATCTGATAACCCGGGTTGATCACGAAGGTATCCATCATAGCTGAATGGTATACTGCCGGGCATAATACCAAGGTCTAGCCGGGGTTCCTATCCAATGGCGTAAGGACAAACCCCTCGAACTCGCCTTTGACTCTGATAACGTCGGAGACCCTCAATTTCGAAACGTCATCACGCGTCATCTGTAGACATGCCTTCAATCGACACATGTCGAGAACCGGACAATGACCCCTAAAATTCTTCCACCCCATGAAGCTTTCCTCTACCTCCTTCCCAAGCTTACACGCTCTGTCGTCATGTCTGTCCCTCGGAACATCATTGGCATTGACTAGCAAATGATGGTGTGGCTCCCCTTGACTAAGTCGAAAACATGCATGCCCTCCCACTCTTGGGTAGGACGACCCTGCACAAACACAGGTAGAAACCGAACGAGCAGCAAACGCTCGTTGGTTATGGATTAGATCACCTATTGATGGATTTTTCGTCCACACAATTTTGACCTTCAACACGTTTCTTATAGACCACGGGTAATTCACACTTCATGATGACATCGTTAACTAGCTTTCATACCTCAACAAGCTTGATAAGGTCATCAAATTTAACACGAACTGTCAGATCGATAGACATACTCAACCCAAAACAATCCCGGATATGTCGAGATAACAGACGGCGTAGGTACCGACGAGTTGACTTCTTTTGAAAATCCTTAGCTACGTTATACAGTCGTATCAGAGACTTCAGACTCCAAGACTTAAGGTCAGACAACACCAACGGGTTCTTCAAGAGCGAAATCAAAATTCGCTTCAAGAAACCTCCTCCGGATTTCCAAATACGTAAGCGGTCGACCACAATCAAACCACCGATTTCAAACAACTTCTTACAATGCTTCAACGAAACCTTTCCCTCGGCACCCTTCACTAGCGAATCTCCAAAGCGCTTCCTGATCTTCTTCCAGCCTTTCGCCCACACATCACCCCCGCTTGAGATAATCGAAAAGCTTCGAACTCCCGCCTCTTCATTCTCCAGAAGTAACTTGAGTAGGTCGATGGACCAAGCCTCCGTATCGGATCGCCTCACCCTCACTGGCGTGATTAGCTTCCCCGTCGTGCATAATCCCTCCTTCCTCTCTCTTCTCCCTTTGCTTTTCCGGTTCCCACCCCCATTCTTCTTCACTCCTGCAGTATTGAGAAAAGGAGACCAGGCCTTGATATAGGTCTGTTCGAGGTCATGTACCTCGGCAGCATTACCATATTCAAACGGAAGGAGGGCATAGTTCCCTATTCCAAATGATCCCATCCAGCGATGAAAATGCGTGCGCCTCTTCATGCGGCATGCAGCGCGGTGCTCACTCCACCGGATATCGACGCCTCGAGTCGTTCTCCCAATATATTGGTGTTTGCAGTAAGGTGACACCGCTACATACACACAACATTTTTATTGACGAAGTCAGCGCCATACAATTCGAATAGCTCCCTCCAGGATGCAAAGCATCTTCGCAGCCATCTAATCTCTCCTCGCAGAGCTAGCAGGATAATGCCGATTCTCAGAATTTCTTCCACCAAGCTGTCAGGTCGCTCCGTCACTTCCCTGAAATTAGTCAACTCACGGACCATACCCCATATCTCATCAGTTCCGTACCGATCTCAAGCATCGCAATCAGGTTCCTCGACATCAACCATTGCCGAGTCTTCCTCCTCACATTCCCCAGACTCGGACATCGCGGTACCCTCAATTTTACCAAATGCAACTCTCGTACGATGACTGGCAATATCAAAGATTGCCTTGATCTTGCCGTTGTAGTTCACACCTTCATTCTTATAAATAAGTTGGAGCTCCTGTGCATCCAAACCTCTTATTTCATCGATAGCTTGGTTACGAAAACGTAGCTTGGCCAGTACCTCTGATCCCCCCGGACTCTTCTGCTTCGCAATCAATGGCGATAGCTTGGTCTTAATCTTGCTGCGCGAGCGTGTGATCCGTCCCACTGCCACACCTTCCTTCGCCTTCGTACAGGGCGTCCGCTTCGATGGAGTAATCGTCGGTGGGCTATCTTCAAAGACAGGTTCGGGGCCCCGCTTCCGCTTCTCACTAATCGTTAATTTCCCTGCTTTCTTGTGCAACTTCTCAGTCTCGCTCCCACTGCTTCGCGCCGATGTTTCGTCATCAGATAGAACCCTGATCTTCTTCTTGCCTTTAGCCTTCCTAGCGAACTCAAGTACTGGACCCAGACTCTCCTCCATCTTGTTAAAGAAGTCGCCCGTTCGAGCCGCCAACTGCATTTCCATCTTCTTTTCCATCTCTGCATCGCGTTCAGCTTCCTTATGAAGTTTAGCGCGGAGCTTCCTCTCCTTCTTCTCGTGTAGTTCCTTTTCATTCCTTATCCGCTGTTGTTCCTCCTCTGCTACCTGGCGTAGTCGTTCTTCCTCTCCGCGCTTCGTCTTCTCAGCCAATACAAACTCAGACACTGAGGCCAGGCTTTTGTTAAGCTCTTCAATCTGTCGTTGGAGAACCACTGCTTCTTGTGCTTTATCCGTGCCCTCCCTTGTAGTAGGAGACGTAGATCTACCCCTTCTCACCTCAAATGATGTAGAAGGCCGACTCCTGTTGGGGCACTGGTTAGCGTAGTGCCCCCGTTCATTGCAAGAGAAACATCGCGGTGGCGATCTTCGGTAGGCTCTCTCCCGCTCGTATCCACGGTCATTGCTACGGTAGCCGGAACGATCTTCACTGCTTGAACGGTGATCCCTTCGCGAGTGCTCCCTTCGGTCACTCATCTTCACCACTTGGATACTCCGGTCTCCAACTTCCGAAATCCAAGTGCTTCCATACACTAGGCACCTCCTCACTCCTTCTTAGTTGCTTGTCGTAGACGGCACACTAGGACAGGAACGAGCATGCTCACTTCTCTCGGTAACGTCTCTCCAAGAGTGTTAACGTGTGCAATCGATAGTTGATAGGTGACAAAGTGAACGAACACTTCAATTCGAAATACGTCAAAGCAGCACACAGTACCGAAAAGACATAAGTTCGACGAGCAAAGTCATAACCAATTACGACAGATAGGAAGAATACGAACAA